TAATGTAAAATAATATTTACACCCTATTTCTAGAAAACAATCTTAGACAGTTTTAATGTGGTCATAGTGCTTTGTATGTTTTTTAAAATACAACATTATTTTTCATTAATGAGCAGCAATTTACATGCCTGTTTCCAAACACACGTGAATCCATCTTAAGAGGCAAAACACTGAATGAATATTTTCAGCACTTTCTCCTTGGGGAGCATCTTCTGTTTATATTTTAGTTACTTCCCAGGACATGCCTTAAGTCTATCCCTCCGGCACATGTTTAAACATAGCTCCAGTCAGAAGTAGAGGTGGGCCTGTGTTTAATCTCCCACTGCAGTTCAAGTCAGAACTACACCTTGCTTTTACTCTAAATATTTGCATTATTGTCCTTGGATGTTTCCTCATTGTGCACAACAAATCTCTCCTTTTTAGAAGAACTGGTTGATGACAATAAGATAAATCATATTCTGGAGTACACTTAGAGGGAAGAAAACCACATGTTTCGTGAGGTAAAACAAATACTGTTTCTTTACCTTTTAATACAAACAAACAGAAACACCCACTAATGTATTTACAACTCTTGTTTTACAGGCCAACATGATTTCATAGAGAAGTATCTAAGTATATGTGGATGAGATAGGGGAAGTTGATTTCTGCTTCTCTACCACTCTCTAGGCCTGCAAGATGACACAGTGAAAATGATACACAGAATCTTTGCTCTCAGAGTTTAAATCCTAGTAGGGAGAGGCAGACAATAAAAATGTAGGCAAACGATGAGGATTTAAGGAACAAGAAAGTGTGATAGTTAGCAAAGAACGTAAATGGAGCATCTTTTTTTTTCTTTTCTTTTTTGAGACAGAGTCTTGCTCTTTCACCCAGGCTGGGGTACAGTGGTGTCATTAAAGCTCACTGCACCTCTGCAGCCTTGAACTCCTGGGCTCAAGCAGTCCTTCCACCTCAGCCTCCTGAGTAGATAGGACTTACATGCCCAGCTAATTCTTCTTTAAGTTTTTTTGTAGATGCAGGATCTTGCTATGTTGCCCAGGCTGGTCTCGAACTCTTGGACTCAAGTGATCCTCCCACCTTATCCTCCTAAAGTGCTGTGATTATAGGCGTGAGCCACCGCACCTGTCCCCATTTGCAAATTTCATTTCTTAAAACTCTGGCTAGTATGTGAAAAGAGACGGAAAGGGGTTTGGACTAGGCCGCTGTCTATGAAGATGGAGGGAAATGGATAGAACTCAGAGAAATGAGGGAGGAATGGAAAGAACTTAATAATGGGCTGGGTAAGTGAGAGAATGGTATGGTGGAAGATCCCCAGGGCTCTGATTTGATTGAGCAAAAGGTTGGAAGAGATGCTATTAATTGAGATCATAAAGAGTGAAAGAGGAACACTTAGTGGGAAGGTGGGAGAGAATCAGAGATCAGTTTTAATACATTTGAGATGTCTGCACAATAGCCAAAGTAAAGAAAAATCTTGAATGCCTTCACAAAATGAGTCCAGAAAAGAGGTCAGGGCTGAGTTATAACTATGTGAATCATTGGCTCATGGGTGGTGTCTGAAGCTGTGGGACTAGATGAGATCACACAGGGGTGAGGATGGACTGAAGGAGAAAAACTTGGTCCAGGACTAGCTCTAAGATACAACAGACCTTTAAGGGATCTGGTGGAGTATGTGGAAGTGACAAATGAGCCTGAACAGGAATGGCTAACAGCAGTTAATTTGCAAGAAAAAGAAACACACTTCATGAGCACAGACCACACATCCCTGGCCAGTGACTCTCAGCCACAGGTCCCGGTTGGCTCCAGAAAAGCTTTCTCTAATGCTGGAAAATAAATCTACTCATGCATGTTCTTGGTGGAGGAGGAGAAGAGCTTCAGATGGTGGAGGGGGACAAAGAGCTTCAACCTCACTTAAAAAGGTGACTTCACTGGAATAATACAAAGGATAAAAGGAAAGTGTGACAGAGCTGCTGTGTTTCTGGAGCAGGATTTGAAGTTTCTCTAAGACAAATATGAAAGCCTCAGAGATCAACTTCTCTATCTTGATTCATACATGATTACCAGTAAATGGGGAATGATCTTGCTTAGTTGGCAATAGATATGCCTTTTACACACTCTCTTGCAGGAATTTGAAGTGCTATATCATAGAGGTTTTGTTTTCCATATTTGAAGTTAAATGAGACATTGAGATTTAATCAGAAACTTAGCTGAGAAGAGGTGCAAACTTGAAAGTCCAGCCTTGGATAAAGGAGAAATAGTATGAATACCTCTCCCTCTGTTTTCAGTATTTCACAACATAAAGTATGTCCAACTGATAGACTTGTAGTAAATCCCAGGTAAGATATTTGTAGACTATGCCATGTTCTTAAACATTAAAAACACAGTAACATTTCAACTTTATATGGAATATATTACTGAAATCCTAGTTATTTGCTGTGCAGCTGAAATTGATTGGGTATCCCTATATAAATCAAGTTTGTTGAATTTTTTTTTTGAGGTCTGTGTCAGGAGTTCTGAGATGAAAGATGGTCCCTGGTTTTAATATGATAAGTTAGCTACATGTGTACTATTTCTTTTGACATAAATTCTTTAGTGTGACTTAATCTTTAAACTCTTTTGCAAGTCGTTGAAGAACAGGAATAGAAACGGACTTCTGCTTAAATGATAAAAACATAAAAGGGCCTGGAAACTTCTGCATGAAGTTGGCTGTTTCTCACACATTTTCACTTTCCTTCTCTTTTTCAAAATATATTTTAGTTCTGCAGTTTCAGTTCATGTTTCAGAAGTTTAAATATCGACATTTGTGAAGACACCCTTTCTCATTTAACTGAGACATTCTTTTAGAGGATGTCTGGCACTGTACATTTATAAATGACACTCGGGTCATAAGGAACCCTTTTGAGCTACCTATACTATATACCATGAACTACTTTGGTCCAAATTTTTCAAACTTAATTTGGTTCTTCTTTTCCTCAATTTTATTTAATTCAATTTTTTCTGAGACAGGGTCTCATCCTGTTGCCCAGGCTAGAGTGCAGTGGTGTAGTCACGGGTCGCTGCAGCCTGAACTTTCCAGGCTCAGATGATTCTCCCACCTACACCTCCCTAGTAACTGGGACGACAGGTGCATGCCACCACAGTTGGCTAATTTTTGTGTGTGTGTGTGTGTAGTTTTTTTGTCACGATGGGGTTTTGCTATGTTGCCCATGCTGGTCTCAAACTCCTGGGCATAAGCGATCCTCTCACTACCTTGGCCTGCCAAAGTGCTGGGATTGTAGGTGTGAGCCACCACACCTCACCTTTCCCCAATGTTAAATCCAACATGGCAGTTCCGCATTAAGGGAGTCACTCTTCTTATATGTCCTCCCAGCCTGGATTTTGAAGCAGCTGCCTTTTTGCTTCCTAATGATACTAGCCTATCCAAACTAGAAATAATCTTATATTATCATTGATGCCTTGACCTATTTGTGTATATCTGTATTTTAAAGCTTTTTATCTTTCATTACAAAATGACTGCTTTCCAACACCCAGGCCTAGGCTTAAACACTGGCATATATGGAGAGAACAGTTGTCCCTTGACTCAGAGATGGAGTAGACACCCAAAGAACTGCAGTTCTTAAGCCTTTGGAGAAGCAGGAGAGAGCACAGTTGTAGAGGATTAGCTTAAAGATTGCTGCATGGGGCAGACACAGTGGCTCATACCTGTAATCCCAGCACTTTGGAAGGCTGAGGTGGGCAGATCACCCAAGGTCAGGAGTTCGAGACCAGCCTGGCCAACATGGTGAAACCTCATCTCTACTAAAAATACAAAATTAGCAGGGCATGGTGGTACACACCTGAAATCCCAGCTACTCGGGAGGCTGAGGCAAGCGAACCCAGGAGGCGGAGGTTGCAGTGAGCCAAGGTTGTGCCATTGGACTCCAGCCTGGGGGAACAAGAGCAAAACTCTATCTCAAAAAAGAAGAAAGCAAAAAAGATTGCTACATGCATAGAGTGGGGGAAATTGTGGTAGATAAAATGTAAACTTGGTTTGGAGAATACACATTTATTGAGCATTTTCACTAACCAGCTCTAGGCTAGGAAGATTATAAATAGTGTCTCTTTTATATGATACGTACAAACATGATTGTGTATATTGTAAAGATCTGTCAGAAGTTACGATAATTCCAAAAGCAAACTCTTAGCAACATCTTTTTCAAAGTATATTTCTCATGTGTCACATTTCACTAGCTGATGAAAAAGGTTATTTCTCCAAAACATATAAAAATGTAAAGTGAACAATGACCATTCATCAGAAATAGTAAGTGACAGTGAGCTCTCCAAGGAGTACTTCTTTCTAACAGTCAAATTCTGTAGGTTGAAACTCAAGGTGGTTAGGACAAATAGGTGGGCGTTGGTCAATGCTTAAGAAATTTGACTTTTTGCAACTGCATTATAAAACAGGGCTCTCCTTTTGATTTGCTTCCATGAATTTGCCATTTTATTCAATATTATGCCTTTACCATTTATTCTTCCATTTAAATGAATTCCTTTTAAGTCACTTCTGGTTGCTGTTGCCAGATGACAGGTGTAGAGCTGATTTTGTATTTGTTTTTTGTTCTGAGACAGTAGTGTCGCTGTGTCACCCAAGCTAAAGTGCCGTGGAGCAAACTCAGCTCACTGCAACCTCCACCTCCTGGGTTCAAGCAATTCTTCTGCCTCAGCCTCCCAAGTAGCTGGGATTATAGGCATGTACCACTGCTCCCATGTTGGCCAGGCTGGTCTCAAACTTCTGACCTCAAGTGATCCGCCCAGCTCAGCCTCCCAAAATGTTGGGATTACTGGCGTGAGCCACTGTGCCCAGCCTAAAATTCTTTTCTGAACAGAGACTAATGTCAATGGATGAAAGACAAATCACAAATGGTGGGAAAACGAGGAAAAACAGTACTCCCTAATATGTGTTTTTAGTTCACTTCTCTTGCTGATGTTTGCTGATTGTTAATTCTTTTCCTCTCCTTTTTTTTTAGTGGCCACAGATGTCTTTAATTCCAAAAACCTGGCTGTTCAGGCACAAAAGAAGATCTTGGGTAAAATGGTGTCCAAATCCATTGCCACCACCTTAATAGATGACACGAGCAGTGAGGTGCTGGATGAGCTCTACAGAGTGACCAGGGAGTACACCCAAAACAAGAAGGAGGCAGAGAAGATCATCAAGAACCTCATCAAGACAGTGATCAAGCTGGCCATTCTTTACAGGAATAATCAGTTTAATCAAGATGAGCTAGCATTGATGGAGAAATTTAAGAAGAAAGTTCATCAACTTGCTATGACGGTGGTCAGTTTCCATCAGGTGGATTATACCTTTGACCGGAATGTGTTATCCAAGCTGTTAAATGAATGCAGAGAGATGCTACACCAAATCATTCAGCGTCACCTCACCGCCAAGTCACACGGACGGGTTAACAATGTCTTTGATCATTTTTCAGATTGTGAATTTTTGGCTGCCTTGTATAATCCTTTTGGGAATTTTAAACCCCACTTACAAAAACTTTGTGATGGTATCAACAAAATGTTGGATGAAGAGAACATATGAGCACATGAGTTAAGATTGTGACTGATCATGATTTATTTGAAGATGGAGCACTGCTGATTTATGAAGGAAAAAAGAATTTTCTAAAGATTACATGTATTTCAGAAAGACTTTGCCCAATTCAGTTGTCAGACATAATGATTTATTTGAAGGCTTGTTTTATTTGAAGAAAAGCATATTTCAAAAAACTCTGGTTACAAGCTTCCTAACGGGTAACAGACCATGGGAGAGATGTGTGGTTAGGTAATGCAAATGTAATTATACAAAGAAAAATAGATATGGCTCCAGACCTAAACACTTTTTTATAGGGCAATTGTTGTGTTGGTGGCACATTGGATATTTCTAACATGTACAAACTTACGTATTTTGATTTACTTTCATTTCTTGCTATGTATATGTACTTTTCTTAAAACGCCAAGAACTTTCTCAGGCTATCATTGCTCCTTTTGAAACAATCCAATTTTCATGTCTACGGCTGCTTGTTTTGTTAAAAAGAAAATGGCTTATCTGAAATCAGTACTGTGGAAATTAACTCTATTAGCTATTATGAATAATGTCCAATATAAGAATATGCTTCTGGAATTGAGTTCTGCTTTTAAGTACCAATGATACTTAAGCTTTTCAAAAATGTAATGGTGTATCATTGCCTTGAAATGCTTGCTTAGGGCTTCTTTTATGTTATCTTAAAATGTGCTGGTGAATTCTCCATTTTTTACATCCATTTCACATGTAAGAGACAAAAAATCTAGATTGGTCTTGATATTGGGATAATAAAAAGTAAGTAGCATTAAGAAAGGTAAAACAACCTTCATTTTACAGATGAACTCATTAAAACAACGTAGGGGAATGAGGGGCAAAGGGGAGAAAATACATTGCTAAAGAACATGAGCATAAAAATGAGTGCATTTCAGTGTTTAAGAAGGTTTGATAAAGAATGTCACTTTTTTATTTAACTGATAAGGTTTTTGTTATTTTTTACTTTGATAAGTAAACCAAAAAATATTTGCATTTCAAGCAGTTTGTGTGTCTCTATATAATTTTCTGTGTATAAATAATAAAGTGGGCATTTGCTTATTTTGTAAAAAAGAAATGAAAATCTGCTGGCCAGCTATGTCCTCTAGGAAATGACAGACCCAGCCACCAGCAATAAATATTTGCATTATCACTGTGTCTATGATTTTTTTTTTTTTTTTGACACAGTGTCTCGCTCTGCTGCCTAGGCTAGAGTGCAGTGGCATGATTTTGGCTCACTGCAACCTCCGCCTCCCAGGTTCAAGCGATTCTCCTGCGCCTGCCTCCCAAGTAGCTGGGATTGTAGGCATGCACCACAACACCCAGCTAATTTTTATATTTTTATTCGAGATGGGGTTTCACTATGTTGGCCAGGCTCCTGACCTCCAGTGTTCTGCCCACCTCAGCCTCCCAGAGTGTTGGCGTTACAAGCCTGAGCCAGTGTGCTCGGCCAGTTACTGTGTCTATGATTTAGTGTACTCTCTTGCCTTAAATTTGCCTGCCTCCCAGAATATTGACATTAAAATAATAGTTTACCAGGAAAGGTTCCACAACTGAAAATTCCAGAAGTTGAGATCTGCTCTAACCCATGTCAGCCTAGAGGGGGCAGTTTCTCTAACACCCTCATTTGCTTGGCTAAGAGAAGCAGCAAAGGTGTAGAGTGTCTCCCTGTTTGATATTAAATCCTGACACTAAAATTTGAACTGAAAGTACCATTCTCACTTCCTAGAGCCAGTAGATGGGCAATATATGCTGTAACAATGTTATATGTAAAATTTCCAGTGCCACAAGAGAAGTAGCACTTGAATATAAATTTCCTTAGCAAGGCAATTTACTTAGATCGAAGGGTGCAGCTCACAGATGGAACAATGGTGAGTGCACACTTGGACAAGGGAGGGAAAGGGGTACTTATTCCTGACAGAGGTTGCCCCCACTGCCGTGTTGTTCCCCTACTGGCTAGGATAAGACTGCATAGTCTAGACTAATCCCGATTGGCTATTTTAAAGAGAGTCAGGGCATGAGCCTGAGTGGCAGGGTGTGCAGTTTGTTGGGAAGGACGATTACAGGCAGAGCAAGTAACCAGGGGTGTCCTAGGTCAAAGCGGGTGACCAGAATGAGTCAGGACAAAGCAAGGGACTGGGGGAACAGATGTGAACCTCTGAATAGAACTGGTGGAAAAGGTTGTTTACTGAAACTACAAGGAAGTTAAACTTTAATATGGAGGACAAAGAACGGAACATACTGACATACTGATTCTTTGAAGAGAAACTTGTATGTCTAACAATAATAACACAGTGACTACAGAATTGACCCCTCTAGCTTCATAACTTGCTGAGTGGCTTATAAATGGAGTTCAGCAGCCGCCTTTGAGCAGCTGTTTTCTTCACATGTGAAGGCTGAGAGTGTGATGGAGGGTGAGCTACTGCCTGGATATGTTCTTTCTGCAGATCTTAGCAGAGGTATGGGAAATGAAGGGCCTGGCCAGTCGATGGATGCTTCTTGCTCATTCTCTAGCTATAGACAGGACCAACCAGAGAGAGAAGACATACAGAGGGAGAAATCTGGATCTATGGGCATGCTGGATCATAGGGTTGTGCCAGCAGCCTAGCAATCAAATGTGCATGGGATTCAGGGAGCAACGCTTCATCTCCCACAGAGAAGGCAGTGAGGAGTAGACTGAAGGAGGTAATCCTGTTTGCTACCATTTCTCAGCATTTTCTGGAGGGGCCCCATCACCTTACCAGTCCTGTGCCTGGAAAGCATGCCTTGGAAGGATCGGGTCCAAAGTTATGATTAGCAAGTTCATTTCTAATACAGTAGGACTCCCCTTGAGCATTTAGGGTGGCAAGGAATGTGGGAGCTGGGAAGAATCCCCATGTATTTAGGGTAGATAAATCTAACCCAAGTTAATACTAATTTGGGCTCCTGTGAACCTTTTTATAAAATGGTATGTCTTCACATTTTGAAAGGAAATTGTGTTGTAATTGATTTTATTTTGTGCTGATGGCTTCTCTGCAAAAATTATGAGTGGATGATAATACTAATGGACAGCTCACACAGTGTTTGTATTATGTGCCAGCCACATTAACTCATTTAATTCCTGTCCCAGTCTTCACCATTTTACAGAGAAGGAAACTAAGGCAAGAGAAGGAATTTCCTGAGGTCACAGAGAATATGTATAAAACCTTATTTTCACTTGAAGATGGTATGGCTGAAGGCAGTTCTAGGAACATCCTTGGCTCAGAGAAGTGTGGGCAGTATGCTGCTGAAATGGTTCCTCATATAGTGACATTTTAGGCAGTACCTAAGTCATGATAGGTCTGGCCTGTTCTCTAAAGATCTGGGTAGATTTTGTACAAAGACATTTTTGAAAGTTTTCAACATGACTCCTACTTTGGGGGCATCTTGTGGCTCAGCTTTCTGTCTCTTGAACTTCACTTCAAGGTGCTCACGATGACTTTGAACATTGACTTTTGAGGTGCAGTGAGCTCCTCCCCTACAGCAGTCTCTAGTGGCGGTGGGTTCAGAGGACTACAAGGCACTTCATGTGCATTCATCAAGACAGACAAGGAAGCAGCAGTTCAGTACTGTGCTCCCCAGCGTAGGTGTGACATTGTTTTCAAACTTCAACATTGTTTTCCAGATTTGGAGGCTCAAAATATTTGAGCAAGTAAGTTAAAAAATAGCCTTTATCTGATTATTAGGCCTTTCATGTAAAACTCAAACTTAGTTTAAAAGTAAAGGATGGGGCGGATGTAGTGGCTCATGCCTATAATCCCAGGACTTTGGGAGGCCGAGGTGGGCAGATCTCTGGAGGTCAGGAGTTCAGCACCAGCCTGGCCAATGTGGTGAAACCCTGTTGCTAGTAAAAGTACAAAAAGTAGCTGGAAGTGGTGGCAGGCATCTGTAATCCCAGCTACTCAGGAGGCTGACGGAGGAGAATTGCTTGAACCTGGGAGGTGGAGGTTGCAGTGAACGAGATCACACCACTGCACTCCAGCCTGGGCAAGAGTGAAACTCCATCTCAAAAAAAAAAAAAAGGTAAAGCATGAGTTAGGGACTTCAGTCATACAGAAATATTGCTTTTTAAACTCTTATAACAGTATCCCATTCACAATTATCTGGAAAGTTCTTTTCTTTTTCTCCCACCATGTGAACACACACACAGACGAGCACACACACACACACACACAGTTTTTAAGCCCCCAAAGGCTTAAATTAGTACTTTTTGTGGTTTGTACAATTCAGTTGAATTATTACTAAGAATTCTAATTTATCCTTGAGGTAAAGGAGAGTATATAAGCAGTTGCAATTTAGCATACAAAACCGATAAATGGTAAATAAAAGAATATGTTTATCCAAATGATGAAACATTTGGAGTAAAAAGTGCTATTCACTTGCTAGGAAATTCAAATACTCCAACGAAAACTTATTTAGCATGTCAATAGGAACGATATTTACAATTTTTAGTCAATCTTGCATTTCCACACTTGCATTATCTAAATTAGCTGAACTTTTGAGTGTTTTACTTGATATATTGCATTCCTGAGTATTAAACGTCTATGTGATTTGTTAAAGTCATAGCAGGTTTTGGTACGCAGTGCTGTTTATGACAAAATTTTATTCTACCTCTGAAGTAATTATATTTTCTGTGATTCAGATAAAGACTTTATTAAAACTCCCTAATGAAAATATTGAAGCATTAACCAGAAAATGAGTCAACTTTTTGTTTCCAAAATGATACAACAGGAAAATCTTTAAGTACTTATGATCCCATATAATCACCATCACCACAAAGTATTAAAAGTCTGTTTTCTCTTTTACTAAGTGTCCTCACAGTCACTTAGGTATACCCAAAACGAGAAAGATATTTTTATCTCAGGGAAATTCCAGAAATGGAAACATTTTTTTGTGTAATATTGATTCATTGCTGTCTAGCCAAAGATGTGTTTTCCACATAGCAAAGAACATCAGCCCGTTATAAGGAACAAGCCAGTCCCAAATCGTACCATCTGCTGACAAGTGAGCCGGCATTCACAATTAAGAGAAAAACATCTGTGCTTTGGAAAATGTTCGAGGATAAAGAATCGTGCTCTGTGTCCACCAAATTTCCATGAGATCTTTACAAGATTAGACAGCCAGTGGAAAAGGCCCCCCTTATCTTTCTTCATGGATGGCTGAGGAAATTCTCTGCCTCCCCAGCATCAGCTGCATAACTATTTCCACCTCATGAAAATGAAGTAGCTGATCAGGCACTTGGGGTTTGTTCTTAACACAAGAAAGACGATTTGATTTTTTAAAGTATGTTTCGATTTGTAAAATGATCTAAGACAATAGGCTTCTCTCTACTCTGGCTTTTCCATTCAAAAGCTTACAGATGGATTAATTCATTTAAAACTGCCTGATGTGAAGTTGAAATACAAGGCATGGAAATAAAAACCCAGAGTATAATTAGCTATATTGTTACCATTATCTGAGATAACTGATGTTTTATAAGAGGCTCAGGTTTAATCTTCCTAAAAATGGAATTTTATCGGGCCAGCAAGAATGACCACTTAGCCATGTAAATGACTTGTCAGCATCTTTTGCTCCCTTCTAAGACCACTGGTTTTCACTAAAGGATAAATACCTGCTAAGCAAATTATGAGATAGTCTAAGACATTTAATCTCCCAGAAGAGCACTTGCTGATAATTAGATCAAAGTTCCAGCATTATTGCTCTTCCCGAATCTTGCGGACTTGGTTTCCTCATGACTGAGGAGTCACATTTTTAGCTTGCTGAAATACTCATTGGAGAACATGGTGAAATCCACGAGTGGAAACATTCCATAGTATTTTCAAACGCTATGTGTCAGGAATTTGGCATGCCTTCCTCCGGGAGATGCACTGGAAGGTGGCCAGGTGGAACCCAGTGGGGTACAGAGGGCATGTGTGGGAGCAGTCAGGGAACCAGGACGTCCAGCTTCTATCTGCCAGGGAGCTTGCTCATGTTGTCTCTGAAATTTGCATAAAAGCAATTACCTCATTCTCATTTTATAGATAAAATTTTTTAAAAATGTAGAAGGCTTCAAAGCCTCCTGAAGTCTATTCCTATATGAGGTATTGTTTACCAGTGGCCTTTCACTAGTTCCAAATCAGCAATGAAAAGAAGCCTGAGTCTAAAATAAATGAAGCAACAACTTCAGCAGCCCAAGAGAATTTTGTTCAATTCCAGTCTCCTTAAAAAAAAATTAGTTTTTGCTTTCAATTTAGGAAAATTGTTTAGGGTTGAATTGTTGAAAGTAATGATTTCTGGCAGCTACTTATGTATAATTTCTTAAAGAATTAAATTCTGTCATAAATTATTTGATTATTCATTCTGGTTTTCATTATCCACTGGTGTATTGCAAGCCACCCCAAAATTTAGTGATTTAAAACAACAACCATTTTGTTCCCTCTCATGATTCTGTGGGTGGAATGGGCTCAGCTGGGCAGTTTTCTTATTTGGGGGTTGTGGTCAGATCATGGCTGGGACTGGAGTCTTACAAAGATTTGGCTGGGACACCTGGATGACTGGGCCTCTCCTCTCCCCCATGGTCTCTACTTGCTACTTACTAGGAGCACCCCAAAGTGCAAGAGCAGAACTTTCCAGGCATTTTTAAGGCTTATACCCAGAACAGGCACAGTATCATTTCTGCCTCATTCTACCGTTTATATCAAATCACAGGCTATATTGGGTTTCCCAAGACACCCTCAGGTTCGCTATTTCTCTAGATGGACTCAACTCAGAAAAGCTATTACACTCATAGTTATGGTTTATTATAGCGAAAGGATACAGAATAAAATCAGCAAAGGAAGATGGTGCATAGGGCAGAGGCGAGGAGAAACCAAGGTGCAAGCTTCCAGCTGTCCTCATCCAGTAGAATTTTATAGACAGCACAAAATTTTCCTAGCAATGATGTGTGACAACATGTGCAAAATATTGCCGACCAGGGAAGCTCACCCAAGTCTTGGTGTCCCCCAGCTCATTTTTGGGGTTTCACCGTGTTAGCCAGGATGGTCTTGATCTCCTGACCTTGTTAGCCACCTGCCTCCGCCTCCCAAAGTGCTGTGATTACAGGCATGAGCCACTGTGCCTGGCCAACAGTTGGTTTTTAATTGGAAACAAATAAATAAAATAAAGTAGACTAACCTGATGGGGTTATTAACGACATGCTTGTCCATGTGAACATGTGAGTCCTGACGAGTTAATCTATGTAATTCAAGGAATGATGATTGAAGGGCTGCTATGTGCCTAACACCAGGCTATACCCTGGAACTACACTTTATTGACTGGTGGGAACACTTATAATACACAGTAACTTAATACCGAACTGGGCATCCCACGATGCAGATGAGCCTAAGAAAGGCTTTCTTAGCCCAGCATAGGCTTTCCAGTGTAACAATTTTCAAACACTGTTTTGAGCTTTAAACATATTTTAAGGCCGAGCACGGTGGCTCATGCCTATAATCCCAGCACTTTGGGAGGCCAAGGCAAGCAGATCACATGGTCAGGAGAAAGAGACCACCATCCCGGTCAACATGGTAAAATCTCATCTCTACTAAAATACAAAAAATTAGCTGGGCATGGTGGCGGTGCCTGTATCCCAGCTACTCGCGAGGCTGAGGCAGGGGAATCACTTGAACCCAGGAGGCTGAGGTTGCAATGAGCTGAGATCATGCCACTGAACTCCAGTCTAGGCAACAGAGTGAGACTCTGCCTTAAAAAAAAAAAATTGTGAGGCCAAGGCAGGTGGAGGGGCGGATCACCTGAGGTCAGCAGTTCAAGACCAGCCTGGCCAACATGGTGAAACCCCATCTCTACTAACAATACAAAAATTAGCCAGGTTGATGGTGGCTGCCTATAATCCCACCACTCGGGAGGCTGAGGCAGGAGAATCGCTTGAAGCCAGGAGGTGTAGGTTGCAGTGAGCCAAGATTGCGCCACTGCACTCCAGCCTGAGGGACAAGAGCAGACTACATCTCAAAAAAAGAAAAGAAACTAATATTTTAAAAGAAAGAAGCTCAAAGTAGTGACTGATTTCTTTTTCAAAATCAATGGCAAGTGTGTGTGTTGGCGGCAGGCAGGGAAGGCAGTATATGAGAGGCAGTATAAGTAAAAGATAAAATGGGCCTGTTCCCAGGGGCTCATACCTATAATCCCAGCACTTTAGGAGGCTGAGCTGGGCAAGTCACTTGAGCCCAGAAGTTCAAGACCAGCCTGAGCAACATGGCAAAACCCTGTCTCTACTAAAAATACAAAAATTAGCTGGGTATGGTGGCGTGCACCTGTAGTCCCAGCTGCTCTGGAGGCAGAAGTGGGAGGATGGCTTGGATGGCTTGATCCTCAGAGGTGGAGGTTGCTGTTAGCCAAGATCTCGCCACTGTACTCCAGCCTGGGCAACACAGCTAAACATCTGTCTCAAAAAAAAAAAAAGAAAAAAGAAAAAATGTAAGTCATTTTTTTTCATTTGAAATAATAATGGTTGTAAATAAGCCCATGGCAAAATGTAGATTACAAATTCTACTGAAGGGAAGAATGTCAAATAGCATTTTAATCACTTTTTGGGGTTTGTTTTGTTAAGAAGTAGAATTTTGCTCTGTTGCCCAGGCTAGAGTGTACTGGTGATTATAGCTTACTGCAGCCTCAGCCTCCTGGACTCAAATGATCCTCCTGCCTCAGCCTCCTAAGACTACAGGCGCTTGCCACCACAGCCAACTCATTTTTAATCAACATTTAAGTAACAGCTTATTTAACATTTTGACTCTTGGGACTATCTGAGTAATAGCAACATGGCAGACACTTAAAATTTTAAAATGATTTCTCTAGAAATTAGATTGCAACCTAATTTGTGAAGCTGCATAAACTCTGACTTCTGTCCTTGTGCTCAGTGAAGTATATGTGTGTCCCCTGACCCCTCAGGCCAGGACGTGGAAGTACATGGTTGAAATGGTTCAGTTTGTGACCAGCCATGCCATCGACCCAGACCTCAGTGGGTACTGCTCACCATGTGGTTCTGTCTGTTAGCTTGTCCCTATGATGACCCTGAGCTCCCTAAGTCTTGGAGAAGGAACATTAACAGAACAATCCATCCTCTTGCTGGCAAATGATTGGTGATCAAGCCCAAGAACACAGCCCTGCGGACGAAGCTCAGCGTGGGGGTTTAGGCTGTAACTTATCCCTAGTGGCTTTCTCTGGGCCTCCAGACAAGACAAGGCTCTTTTTCTTGTCATTCAGTTACATTCAGAGAGTTGGAGTGCAAGGTCCTTTTTTGAATGAATTACAAGACTTCCCAATACATGCTGATTCATGAAAGAATTTTACAAAAATATGGGCTTTTGTAGTTTCAGTTTTAGTTTTAAAAATTCTAACCTCTTGACTAAATTGTGTGATTTCAACCAAGAACAATAATATAAACATGGCTGATTGTTTAAGAACCTACGCTATGTTCGGAATCAATTTAGCTTTTATTCGTAGGTTGAGAAAGATATATGCTCTGTTCTGCCTTCGAGTAGCCTTTGCCACGCTCCCCCCGACCCCAGACGCTAAAAGAAAACCTCACAAACCGGATGTTGGCCCCCCACTCCTTTTAGCTTAAGGCAAGGGAAAGGTACTGTCTTGGTAAGAGGCTCTGACTTTCTGGTTAATGTCAGCCAAGATTGGGTTTGGAATTTAATCCAAACTAATTTTTCAGACTTTTCCCCAATGCTAATTTTAATACAGATGTTTTCCCTAAATAGCTTATCTTTAATTCCGCTGTTTAGTTCTCATAACATCCAAGAAGATCTTCTCATTCATATATTAAGATTCCCATTTTTGGAAAAGAGCCTTGAGTTCTAAGTTGATGTGGTTCTCATAACATAAATCATCACGAGCCCAAGGAGCAAGAGAGATCAACCAGAGCGTGTAAGCAGCACAGTTTGGTTGCTGCTTTTCCTTATCGTTTGTGAGTACTTTCTGAAAATGTGCTTCCAAGTAAGACGTGTTTTCCGTTGACTGTGTTTCACCCTAAACTACAGGAGTTCCAAACTCACAGCCCTGCCTGAGGACGTGGCATTCATAAACGTGTGTGGCCAATTCAAATTGGACAGGGTCAGAGATTCTTCTTTTTCCTTTAAACTTAAAAAAATGATTATAGACTCATAAGATGTTGTAAAAATAGTGCAAAGACTCCTGTGTCCCCTTCATCCAGCTTTGTCAAATGGTGACCTGTAATGTAGCACAATATCAAACCAGGAATTGACAGTGGTATATTGGTGCTGGACTACAGACTTATTTAGTGTTCACTGTTCTATAAATGGAGCCATACCACTGTTCTCTGTTCAGGCTGGCTTTTTTCACTAAGCACAATACTCTTGAGATGCAGCCAGGTCATTGCATGTGTCAGTAATGCATTCCTTTTTATTGCTGAGCACTATTCTATTGCGTGGATGCACTAGAGTTTATTCAACCATTCACACATTGAAGGATATTTGGGTTGTTTCCAGTATTTTTCTAGCATGAATAAAACTTCTATGAGTATCCATCTATAGGTTTTTGTGTGAACATAGTTTTTCATTTCTCTGGAATAAATCCCCAAAAGTGATTGCTGAATTGTATGGTAAGTACTGCAAAAAACTATCTTCCAAGGCGGCTGTGCCATTCTACATTCACACCATCAGTGCATGAGAGACTGTTTCTCCATGTCCTCGCCATTGTTTGACATTGCCGTTATTGTTTAGCGTTCTAATAAGTGGGTAGTGATATCGCGATGTGATTTTAATTATGATACTGAACGTCTTTTCAGGTGCTTATTTTTTTTGCTTGCTTTTTTGTTTTAAATTCCATGCATTTCCTTGTTCTTTCTTTCATTTATTTCCCTCTTCCTCGTTGTCTCCTTTCTCTTCTCTCTTTCTCTTCCTCTTTTCTTCTTTTCTCTTCCCCATCATCTTCTTCCTTTTCTTCTCAGTTCAAGTATAATATACATATAGAAAATCATAAGCATACAGTTGGAGAAATTTCTCACAGAGTAAACGTACCTATTAACTAGCAACCACATTAAAAAGCAGACATTTCTATCACCCAGAAGTCCACCACCCAAGGTAACCACTATTTTGACTTCTAGAGATTTGTTTTGCCTATTTTTGAACTTCCTGTAAACAGAATCTTTCAGTATATATATATATATATATATATATATATATATATATATATATACTCTTTTGTGTCTGGTTTCTTTGACTCATAGGATTCACCAAATATTTAAAAATAATCTCTAAGATTGACTGACTGCCAACTTTAGGCAGCAAACACCATGAGGATGTTCTCCCAGGCATGTTGCGGA